GAGACTCCATACTGGCAACCTTCTCCTTCAGTCCCCAGTCCATTCTCCATCAACAGCACACTCCATGATCCTTCGTATCCTAGCGGCCAAACCGATGCCTGGGCTTTCTACGTCCAAACAAGCTCGAACATCTATGCTTATGGCGTGAACTTATACAGCTTCTTCAATGTGGGTTCGCTCCTCTATACGGACGCTGCTATGATGCTTACATTTATTGTTACTTTTAGAATTATAGCCAAGACTGTCTGGACACTTACAATTGCCAGCAGGCTAACTTTGGCATTGACACTTCGTCAACTTCCGTATATGTCTACAATCTTAACACGTAAGCTCATTCTTCTCCCAGCGACCTTCCATCTGCTAACGGATATTTCCTACAGTGTCGCGAGTTCCTACCTTGTTTATGTGGGCTCAACTGGTGTTGCTCCTGCCACAACCAACCTCGACGGGTTCACATCTAACATAGGGTTGTGGAAGTCCTCTTCATGATCGGACTGTTAGGGATTTTCTGTTTTAGGGCTCGATGTGGTTGCCCCCTTGTATTGTTGTCGATAATCTTTATGAGGAAGGGTTGACACAAACACGGAATAACGATTCCATCCAAACTTCTGCAGCCACAACCAACGATTGCTTCTGACCCGCCTGTGAGACTTTGTAATGGCTTCATCCAATTCACTCAGCCAATCTGGCGAACAGCTAGGAATAAGCCTCTTGACTCTTTTACTATCGTCTCATCGTTCGAACCATTGAGATATGTTGATAGGGTACATCCGCAAAGCACTCTACTAGGGTATATTATACCCGTGATTGAAACAAATGCAGAAAGAGAGAGAACATGAAGGGTCCGTCTGGTGTTTCTTATATAAGTTCTCGCTGGTATATCGGTAGAACACACCCCTGTCATTGCTGTCAGGGTCGGGTGAGAGCTGGGTTCGACTCCCAGGCGGGAAGCTTTTGCCGTTTTTTCGTCTGACAATCTCGAAGATCAGAGTGATGCATTTAGTACGATACTACTCATGGGTTTACAAACGTGTACGAGCATAGCAAGGTCGACAGCGCAAAGTAGTAACGCCATTACTGACAAGATTGAAGGATAGAGAGGAAAAAAAATGGTGCCGATCGTTGGTGAAGGTGGAGAGAGCCTACAACATGAACTTTATTCTGGGCCTAAAGAGCAAATAGGTCACAACCGCATATACAAGCTATCAGAGATTGCTATTTAGCTGAGACGACAAGTCTCGGCGCACCAAATAGTCCCTCAACTTTTGGAGGAGCTCGTGCCGCAGGTGGCGGGGTAGGTCGTGGAGGAGGGGCAAATCGCGGATTTGCTATTGAAGCCACACATGAGGCCAAGTGTAATCATCCGAACGAGCAAAGGTGATTGGAGTTGTTATGTTAGCAATTTCCTTTGATCAAACAGGGCATCTAGGGAACTTACGCGCCCAGTTCGCCCAGCCTGGGGGCTCCGTACTAATGCCCACACCCATGCCCATGCCCATGCCCATACCCATACCCATACCACCACCCATCATTCCATGTCCATTTTGAGATCCCGAAGGAGCCATTGGCATAGACCCCATTGGGCCCATCGAATGTATTCCCATGCCCATAGGCATCGGCATTCCATGCATTTGAGGGATCGGAGGCGTGTGCGATCTTGCTATGCCCGCACTAGGTGTAGGGCTACCTTCCCCAGCAGCAGAGGCCCCGCCGCGTGTGCCTCCCTTGGCTGCTCTCCGCTTGGGGCCACGTTCTCGAGGGTCGATGGTCCTCCAAGCAGATTTTGCTGGCTCTGACGGTTGTGGGGAAGGGACGAGGGCCATCATGGGGTCCGCAAGAGGGTCGAGATCGGAATCGGAGGGGCGGGGAGAGGGCTGAGCCGAAGAAGGTGGGCCGGTTGGAACGTTCAGAGTAGACTAAGAAGCGAAATAGGATGGTCATATTGTTCACGGTGAGCTCTATCATGACGAGTCGCAGCAGTAGCACCGGCAGATCGAACGTACATGCATGAACCTATACACAGTGAAATAGTTGAGCACGCATTGGGATGGCGAATCAAGACGAGGACTCACCAGGAATCGCTTTGGGGAGCCTGCCCATGGCCGAATCCACCCATACCTATCGTCCGCACGAGCTCGCTCGGATCACACTTGCTAACAGGATGGCACTAAACGACGAGTTAGATGCGTACCTGTGCTACCGAAACCGAAAGCTCCTGGCCCAACATCATTGCCGCTTTGCAGGATATTCCTCATTTGCATGAGCTGGGAAACTTCCCTCTGCAGATTTGCTCTGTCGTTCTTGAGTGCTTCGATTTCGCGCGTCACCTGCCATGCTTGGCGCATCAAATCGTTCCTAACCATTCCATATGTGTCGGATATCAAGGTGTTAGTTGGTTCATTATACCGGCTGGAGATATGCACGGAATATAGCACTCACATCATCTCCCTGCAATAGCACCGAAGGGAATATAACGCAAAAGTGTGCATATAGATGATGTACACAAGTATTCGAAGCGAGTACGTGAGTGTGTCCAATGTAGGTACCGGAAGTGATGATCGCGGGCAGAAGTAAGAAGATCCAAGTAGTTAGCTTCATGTTTTTTTGCAGCTCAGCTTGGCTGGCGAGCATCGTAGCATTCTTATGCTCAAAGGTCGACTAACTTTTCAGGATCAGGATCATAGGGGCCACGTTCCGAGTCTTGTGCCATGGCGAGCGATGTGTTGACGAGTGGTTCGAGTAGTGCTCGCGGAGTGTTGACCTGGTCAAAGATCTATATGCAAGAACGACCAACAAGTTTCGAGCAGTCGGAGAGGCGAAAGGGTCTTCAAGCTTGTATGTGTTCAGTTGTTAGTTGGAGACGCCCGATTGAGGGCCACCCGCCATGAGGCATCAGCCAGCTTGGACTATTTGGCTATGTCGCCAATTCCACATATGACATTAATAGGAAAATAAAGAAAAGTAAGTGGATAATCAGAAGAGCCAAAAGGAAAATACTACGGCTACATTGGAATACAGAAAACAGGGGGTGGTTATTCATTCTTTTAACATTCAATCAACACCAGGGTCGACGAAGGCTAGCACTGCGAGACCGATCGCGTGCTCGCAAGCTTCTGACACTTTTTAATCCACGTATCAATGTCGGATAAAATTGCCTGTGATGAGGGATAATGAGTATATCCACAAGTTGCAATTCGAACCACAGGAATGCTGAACTCACCAGCAATCAACGTTGGGATCCCATGTAGATCGCGCTGGATCGTAAACGAAAAACAGCAATTGATCATACGCTCCTGCGGTGGGCCTTCCTTTTCCCTTTCTTTAGCTCTTCTCCGCCCGGATTGCTGATGCCCTTGGGTTGGAGCGATGATGGGGCTGTTATTGATGGTATTGGGCGGAGGTGCAAGCGAGAGGGTCGACGGTGATGGCTTGTAACGTAGCACGCAGGACGTGAGCACCGCTTTTTGCGCCGCATCAAATGCGACGTGGCCGTATTTCTGCAATGAGTTGGGGCCGGTATTGGTGAGGCGATGGGTGGCAAGGCGCGAGTGGACAGGCCGGGGTGAGGCTTACCTCCCAATAGTTAACAGCCGACTCCTCCGACATGAGCTCGTATATGCACAACCGTCCCTATTATGATGATCAGCATTATTAGTCAAGACGCGTGGTCGAATAGTCATCACGCGAGGTGCTTAGTCACTTACATCCTTCAATAGTCCGACGTCCACACCCACCAAGTCGGCAAACTCTTTGTTTCCCTATGTGATATTTGAGGGACGGCGTTAGATTACTTGTGGGGGAGGGACAGCCATATTTCTGGTCTGGACGGACGGATCAACACACCTTGTAGATTTCTCCGGTTCGCCTCCAAAGACAGGCTGGGATCCCCATCGCAGAGAATACTCGATCATAGCTGAGCAGCAGACGTTCGAATGCCTCTTCGATAAAGACAAGGTCGATATCTGTCAAAGATTGCGCGATGGCCTGATCAAATTAGGGTGAGAGGGGGGAGAAACGCCGGTGAGAGGGGATTTTGCTCGAAAAAGTGGGGGAGAGAGGACGATCAAGAACTGATTGCTTACCCTGAACTTAGGCCGGACAATTGTCAATGGCTGTAGAATTTGCTGCTTGGATTGGGGCGAAACGCTGCCAGGGACACACAGATCAGGCCGCGTTGATCATTGGAAATAGACGAAATAGGAAGAAATGGACTCACTTTCTCTCCATCCATCTACCCAGCCGTGCATAGCCATTCACATAGTTGAACGGCCTGAGCAGCCCTGCTTCATACTTGGCATGGATGACTCTTGCAAGGCGCTCATCGCGGGTGCCATCTTCCTGGTCTGCTGCGGTGAGGAGGAAGCGTTCCGTTTTGGTGGTACTCGAAGGAGGCAAGACTTGGATGGGGGAGTCGTTCGTGGTTGCATTAAGTTGGGACTGGGTTAAGGAAGAAAGAGGGAGCTCGGAAGTGGGAGTGGAGGATGCAGGCGGAGCGAAAGCTGATGTTTGTAGTGAAGGCGGTGGAGGCGCAATGTTCGTGAACGCCGGAGGAAGAAGGGGTTGCTGTAGTGTAGCCTGAGGTTGTGGCGCTGTTGATGAGAATCCGAAGCTTGCATTAGGGTCGGCGAGATTTGATGCTGGCTGAGACTGGGGTGGGAGTGGGGGTTGAGAGGTTAGATTGTTGAGGTTGGCGCCACCGTTGAAGAAAGATTGATCCTCAAGAGACTCGAGAAAGTCACTGTGGAATACAGTATTAATGTGAAGGTGAGCATTAAGGAGAAAAAAAAACGTAGGTAAAGGTAGCAGGGTTGCGGGTACTTGCCTGAGGACCGAAAACTCGGTGCCCCCACTTTCCGGAGGGAAAAGAAGCGGCCATGTAGATGCGCCATTGGTGCCCGTGAGGGGAAAGTTGAAAGGGCTTTGTGTTGGTGCAGTGGCAGTTGCGTTGGTGCCCAGACCTGCGACGGGAACACTCGGAAGCGGCGCAAGATTTGTATTTCCATCTAGCGCGCCGACCCCAGTAAGGGGAGCACCAGTAGGCACAGATTCTGGTATTGTTGGCTCGATAGGTTTCTTAGGTTCATCGTGACAGAGATGGCCGATATCGCGTTTTATGCTGGAGAGGTGTTTGCGGGGGGGTCAATTGAATCGGGTGCAAGGTAGCGAGAGCAATATGTCAGATGAACCCACCAGCGTTGGCATGGACGGCCTAAGATGAATGATGAGAGGATAATGAGGGTATGAAGGCCGTTGGTATCAGGCCAATTTTGTGCTACCAAGAAGGAAGCGCTTACTGTCGTCGCATGTCATATGGCTCCGTCTGCAGTAGAGGCACGCATGGCTTACTGAGCCCCAGGTCGGAAACCAACGAAGAGAGAAACATCAGCGTGTACCGTTCTTGCGCATAAATGGGAATGAAATCAACGATCACCTTTACGCCTCTTTCCGCCACCCTGTCCTGCGTTCTTCCTTGCGGTTGCGTCTTTGTGGTCATCATGTTGCATCGACATGCTTTGTGGAGGATGGGCAGGAGGAGCGCTTTACAGGTTCCGCTGTAATCTCGTCGACCTTTTGAGTCACTTTGTGAGAGGTCGGAATAGGCGGAAACCGGGAGGAGGGGGTGGAACGAGCACGAGCAGCGATCGGGTTCAGGAGACTATATATTCGTTTCTCTGCATGCATACGAGTATTTGGCTCGTCGGGCCCGAACTCCGGAACCTCCTCCAGCCAATAACTGGGCAGCTGATAGTTGTCGAAAGCTACTATCTGTCAAGCCAGCTACGAAGAATGCAATGCTACCACTCAATGTGACGCTATTCCCCTCGGATCCTTCTTTTGCTCTTATCGCACTGCCTTCCACGAGCAAGTTTGTTTCTGTGTTCCACCATCTCTGTCCGATACCAGTCTCTACGCAACATCCGCCCAGACGCCCCACCGGCCCAACAATACTC